CGAACGTATGTTTAAATGTGGGAGAATGTAACGACCCAACCAGTCATTTTGAGCTCTAGCATGTCGTTAGGCAGTTTGAGGCCTTGAGTAGCTTAACCTCAAGTATTATGGCTTGTACGTGTGGTCGGAATTGAATTTCGAGAATTTCAGAGTTGACTTTTGAGTAAACGATCTCGAAATCAGGATTTGAAGGTTCCAATAGGTTCGTATGATGATTTCGGACTTTAGCGTATGTTCGGGTTGAGTATCAGGTCACCCGGGAGCATTTCAGTGGCTTATTATGGAAAGTTAATATTTTGAAAGTTTAAGAATACCCTAAATTTTATTTGAAATGGACTTTGGTGTTATCGATGTCCGTTTGAGGTTTCGAGCCTTGGAATAGGTTCGTATCGTGATTTGTGACTTGTACACAAAGTTTGGCATCATTCCGGAATGTTTTGGTATGGTCCGGACGTGTTCGTCGAAGTTTGAAAGTTTAAAAAAAGATTTCGATCGTCGATTCGTAGTTTCGATGTTGTTTGGCGTGATTTGAGGCCTCGACTAAGTCCGTGTCGTATTTTGGGATGTACTGGTATGTTTGGACAGGGGGCCCAGGTATGGATCGGATTGAAAACGGATCGAGTTTGGGCTTGGGTGAAGTGTTGAAGTAGTTGAGATCTGGTGAAATCGCACCTGCGTGCAAAGGGCAGCAAGTGCGAGCCCGCAGAAGCAGCATTTGGACTGCGTTGGGATGGCCGCAAATGCGAGAATATTTTGACAAATGATCTGCAGAAGCGGAATGCGAGCTGGACAGCTAGGGTCGCTGAAGCGGACGATCTCTGCACGTGCGGGAGCGCATGAGCGTGAGGTGGACCGCAGAAGCAGTCGCGCAGGAGCGTGATTATTTTCTGTAGATGCGGATTTACTTAGACTTAAAGGGAACCGTACATGTGATGGAGTTGTACGCAGGTGCGGAGTCACGGGTCCGACAGTTGGGCCGCAGGTGCGAAGGTCGAGCTGGGAAGTGTGGGTTTTTTTAAAGACGAGGGTTTGGCCCATTTTCACCTCATTTATTCTATGAGAGCCGACTTTGGAGCGATTTTTGGAGCGCCATTTCCATCATCAATCCTGAGGTAAGTGATTTCTACACATTGTGAGCAAAATACATGGATTATGTATGGATTTAAGCATGAAAACTAATAGAAATTGTGGGATATTAGTAGAAAACCTAGAAATTTATATTTTTGAATTTTGACCACGAAATTGGACATGAAATTTGGAATAAAATTATATATTTGAGTTCGTGGTGTTATGGGTAAAGTTTATCTTCAAAATTTTTAAAATCCGGGCATATGGGTCCGAGGGTTGCCTTTATTGACTTTTAGAGCGGAATTGGGGATTTGTTATGAATTGATTAATTATAAGCATTGTAGTATATTTGATTGAGTTGCGCATTGTTTGACTAGTTACGGATCGTTTGATTTTGAGTTGAGGTGTTAGAGAGGCGTTGGAGCCGGTTATGGAACTTCGGAGCGAGGTAAGTCTCCTGTCTAATTTTGTGAGAGGGGAACTACCCCTAGGTGATATTTATTGTTATATGCTACTAGTTGTGGGTGCTACATACGCACGAGGTGACGAGAGTCTGTATGTAGCTAAAGCATGTTTATGTCCGGGTAGACTTAGGACCTTATTATATAATAATTGAATTATTTGAACTCATTCTGCTGGCTTAATTAATTGAACTTATAATTGAAGTTGATTTAGAAATAAATGTATGTATACTAAGCCGAGCCTTATCACCTTGAGGTTGTTGGCTAGTCATTTGAGAAACGATAAAGATTATATTCCATTTGTGCTCATGTACTGTATTGTAAGTACGTGTCTCGTAATTCGATAACTTCCTTCCTTTCTTGTGGAGCGGGTCGAACGCTTCGGCATTATAATAGATACATCTATGGTTCGTGCCGCTCGACTCTCGGCAGCGTACATATTATTCTGGATCGGGCCGAACGACCTCGGCAGAATCATGCGTTATATCGCTAGTAGTCTCAATATTCACGAGATAATCTTTCCACTGATGCCCGGTATTTTATATGGTATTCCTTATTTATTTAATATTGGCACTTGATATTTTCGGAGTTGTTAAGGTAGAATACAAGATTGAGAAATTCATACCTTAAAAGAAATATTTGGAAGATTATGTGACTTACAGATTTACCCCATTATTATTGTGTGTTTCATATCTGCTTATGATTTATCATATTACTTTATTGGACCTCTAGTAAGTGTCGATGTCGACCCCTCGTCACTACTTCTCCGGGGTTAGGCTAGATACTTATTCGGTACGCGTTGATTTACGTACTCATGCTGCACTTCTGCAGTAAATGTGCAGGTTTTGATAGGTTCATTTGGTAATTATCTTGGCGCGTAGGCGCACAGCCTGTTGAGGAAACTTTATGTGAGCTGCATTCCAGGCTACACATCACAGTCCACCGAGTCTCCATCGTTCTATTTATTTTATCCTATCTTATTTACATTCTAGGCAGATGTTGTATTATTATTGTACTCCTCAGAAAATGCTCATGCACTTGTGGCACCGGATTTTAGTGTTTTACTGGTTGATGCTTATAGTTTCATATATCATTAACGCCTTTCAATTCTTTTATAAACTACAAATGTTGTACGTCCCTGTAGATTTAGAAATGTAAATCTCCTTCCTTATTAAAAATTATGATTTTGAAAGTAATAAAATGAGTAATTAAATGGATAAATCACTATTGATTTATCTGACGGTGACGTTAGGCGCCATCACGACCTACAGTGAATTTTGGATCGTGACCGTTGCTATCGGTGTACATAACTCGGCTTATGACGATCATCTACCCGATGTTGGTAATGGGAATTTGGACACAACGATCATCGATAATGTGCCAAGGATGGTAGGAGTGGGTGCTTCTGCAGAGCTCACAATAAGGAGCTAGGACTAATTAGTCTATTGTCTTCATAACTACTACATGTCAAGTATTGTTATTATTATTATTATAAGAGAAGAGCAGCATGTCTCTTTAGATGTCCTGCTGCACAAAAGAGAGAATTATATTGGAGTAAATATAAGACTAGAATAAGGATCAAGATCATATGGAGGTTTTAAAGATCGTGAGCACTACTAATGTGAAACATATCACTACTAGAAATTCGGCAAAAATCGATCAAGGTCGACTGACCAAAGTTGATCGATTTTTCAAAATATTTTATTTTTTAATTTTTTTTACGAAACCGACCAACTTTGGTCGGTTTTCTTTGGAGCAAAAATGCGGGAAACTATTTTTGAGTCCCACGAAATTTATTTTTCAAGAAACCGACCAACTTTAGTCAGTTTTTCAATTAAAATAAATAAAATTTAATATTAAAAAACCGACCAATTTATTCGGCCGGTCATTTAAAAAAACCGACCAACTTTGGTCTGTAATTTTACATTTTAATAAAACCGAGCAACTTTGGTCAGTTATTTTCGTGCGAAAATACAATTAAAGAGTATAAATCAAATAAAAGACAATCTTAAAATAAAATGCACCAATGGTCTAGTGGTGTATCCTGCCACAGTACAGACCCCGGTTTGATTCCCAGATGGTAAATCTTTTAATTACATAATTAAAATACCAACCAACTTTGGTCGAATTTTTTTGCAATATTTTTTTTTGAATTTAATTGACCAATTTCCGACCAACTTTGGTCGGTATTCCTTTCCGACCCCTAAAATACCTTCCACACGTAAATGATCGCGTTTTGGTCGGTTATTGGCCATTACCGACCAACTTTGATCGATTTTTTTATCGATTTTTACCGAATTTCTAGTAGTGTATGGGCTCTAGGTGCTTTCTTGTTGCTGCCTATGTGTTCCTTTATCATATGTGTAATTTAATCTTTTCTCCTTTTTTTAGACCTATTTGCAATATATATATATATAATGGTGCAATAATTGGATGGCATGTTTATAAGGATCAAATTATATCTTTATGGGTTTTGGGGTCGTTTAGTACACAAACTAAAATATTCCGAGATTATAATCCTGATATTATAATCCATATACTAATTTATATCGTCAATCAGATATGATATAAATTTAATCTCACACCTTATCCCGCGTACCACATCTTATCCTACCTTATAAAGTTTGGTTTTAGTCACTCTTCCTATTTCCACCTTCTGTCCATATCCTTTGGTTAGTGACCCCCAAACCCCTACATACCCGCAACTTCTCACACACTTTAAAATGACGTGAGATGAGCAAGACGAGATCACAAACTTTTCTCCGATAACAAAACTAGCAGTTCATTATTCATTTCTCATTGGCTGCTCAGGGCTTACGCTTTTGAATTTGAGTTCATGTAAATTCAATATTTTTCGCTTATACCATAAATATATATATGTGAAATCTCCTAGTCTCTCCGTTCCAATTTATGTGAACATGTTTGATTGAGTACGGAGTTTAAAAAAAATAAGATTTTTGAAATTTGTGGTCCTAAACATGTCAGAAAGGGGTCGAGAGTATTTGTGTGGTTATAAAAGCTTCTCATTAAGGGTAAAATTGAAATTTTAAGCTAAATTATTTCCAAATTTAGAAAGGGGTCAATCCTTTTGGAACGGACCAAAAAAGAAATAGGTTCACATAAACTGGAAACTGAAGGAGTAATAGGTTTTGCAAATATGAATTTTTGAACCTTTGATTTCAAAGAACTCAAAGTCTTAAATCTATTAAGTTTAAATTATGGATCCGGCTCTATTTGGCCCATGAAAATTATGCACTTCTAGAATGACCGCGTATTTTTCTTGGACCACTTATCAAGGAGGGAACAATTCCACAAAAGAATGCTTGCAAATGGAAGCAATGGTCAAAATCACAATGGATAGATTGGCTTACCAATTGAATGGATATAAATCAAATTAGACTTTAAAGTGGATCACATGAAATCTGTTATTTTGACACAGAGGACCCAAGTTCAGTTAAAAATGAACAACAATAAATAAATAATTACAAAATGAACAAGATATATTTGTTAAGCATTTACATTAACAGGAAATGAAACTTTACTCAAGTACATGTTTGATCTTTGTAAAGGTGTCCTAAAATGAATTGCATCAATTGTGAGCAAAACATATCAAGCAACGAGAAAAAAGAAAAAAGAGCAAATATACCACCATTCTTGATTATTTGTGCGTATCATTTTTGTGCAGGAGTCATGCTAATCTTTTCTGTATCGTTCCAATTTTATGAGATGCCCCCGAAAAGAACAAATATACCAAATGCTAAAAGAAAAGGGCAGTGTAAAAAAGTTGGTTCCAAGTATCAGGCAAACCAGCAAGACACCAATGACTACAATCAGCAGAATGGTCAGGATTTGCTCTTTGTTCAGAGGTGAGAGCACCACTATAGATAGAAGGGTGTGCATCTTTTCTCATTGCTGATAGAAAAGTTATGTCCAAAAGAAAAGGAGGGTTGTTCATGTCCCTCATTACTGACTGCAACACCTTCATTTGATCTGGGTACGTACCCGGATACGCCGTGCCGGTCATCGGCACGGTCTCGCCGTAACAACTTCTCGATGTCGCCGCTGTTGCACCGGTGGTCCATTCATTTGGGCTACCATAATTGATAAAGTGTTAGTATATCATATCATATCATATCGTTCAATGTATTGTGTAAAACTATCTCAACGAACGAATTCTTATATCATAGTATACTATTGTGTTAACCAAAGGGAAGCCTTGGTGCAATGTTCAAGTTGTCGTCCTAGAAACATCTTTTTGTCAAAATGCGAGATGATGCTATATATAATAAATCTTATTTGGTTCGGCTCTTTGTCGAACCCCAACTTAGCATGCGTTTACTATACCACTCTGTTGTTTCGTTATAAGATTGCATTAAATGCTTCAACTAAAGTTTCGAATTGTGAAGATAGACACTATTGTTTATTTATTTGTAACACGTGCTGGTTTGGTTCTTTCTCATAAATCAAAGACACATTTAATATAAGAAAAAAGTTATTTAAGACGCTGAATTATCATTTAAATTACAAGCATTTTTGCTAACTTTGATACCATATAAGATTGTGATGACAAGTTTAATTTATTAAAGAGTGACATATATCTATTTATTTGTTCTAAATCCGCAACTTCACATGTAAATAGTAGGAGTATTATTTTAATAGTGCATAAGTCTATCATGCCATTGACTTTTGGAGATCTCAAATGTAGGGAAAACTACTTAATCATATGCCAATATTCCACCAACGAGACAAGAAACAAAACAAGTCCATCAACTGTCTTTTGCTTTCCAGAAGAATTAACCGAAATAGTCGCTCAAACAACCGATTAAACTAAAAATATTTGGATGATATATAATCTATATATAATATATTCATAATCATATATAATTAATATAATTTATATATATATTAATTAAAAAAATAAACAATAAATTTGACTGACTATTTATAAAAAGATCCAAGGACTCTATTGTCTTTAGTATTATTATTATTATAGTCCAACAAACAAAACGGTGTTGACAACTGACTTTATAGCTCATCTTGTCTCAACATCTATTCATCTTGTCCTCTATTGTACAAGTACTATATATAGTTACCCATACTAATGTGGAATAAATATTGATATTATAATAGGGTTTTTTTTTATATTTATGCAAAATAAGAACCCAAGATACGAAAACGGTTTGGATTTAATTATAATTAGTTATTAAGTGGAAAAACATTTTCGTCTGAAAATAGTTTTTGGAAAGTTAATTTTGCAATGTGTTGGATTAAGTGCTTTTCGCGGACAAAGATCAACAATGTAATACACAAATTTATTAAACTATCAATCATCAGGAGACAATATCATGTGAAATTTACAATTATTAATAAAATACATGCATCATCATTGAACTTTCAATTATTATGACAGTTTAACATCATTAGTTTTTGCAATTTGTTGGTCTTTTGTTGAAAAACTAATTTTTTCCAAAAAAATTGAAGAAAATTTTGTTTTCCAATCAAGTTTTCAGAATTTTAAAGCAAATTCTAACTTTCACAATATTTTGTTCAACTTCAAACAATTTATTGTATTTCCTACTTCAAAATCTTATCCAAATTATTAATTATTACATACCTAAGAAGCTAGGCTTTGTCCAACTTGGAGTGCTACCTAAGAAACTATGATGGTCAATGACAGCTAGGGAACTGAACCATTAAAAGTTATGAGTAAAAATACAAAATTTGTCCCAAAACTAATTAAATTCACTTGCCAAAAAATATATATAATATGTATATAATATACATATATACAAAATATTAGACGACTAAAAATACACATTTCTCAAAAAGTTTATTTTCTTTTTGCCCTAGAAAATTTTTTGGGGAGACTGGTCCAACAAATTTTGCGGAAAACAAGAACAACTAATGTTATACTTCAATCCGGAGCAAGTTAAGATCAGTTATACCAATTCTTATTACTCATGTTGCTCCAGTATTTAAGCTTGTAGGAGTCCAACATTATTTAATATTAGATCGAGAAGGGCTTAAGCAAAGTGACAAAACTAGTGAAAATTTATGTAGCCGATTTTTGACTTAAATTGAAAATCCATATAACAATTTTGCACCACAAGTAGAGAGAGAGGATGACATACTTGTAGTGTGTAGGTGAAATGCCCTGAAAGAAGAGTCTGGTTCTAGTTTTGTCAATATTGGCATCAATCCATCTTGCCCATGTCCTTAGACCTCTCTCTAATGCCACTAGCCTGTTCATATCTTGATACAATGTCCCACCTGCATCCATGTAGTCCCACCTGTATACATAGGCGAATTCAAAATTTTAACCAGGAGTTTGGACATAAGAATTGTGAAATTTCGAAAAGAAAATTAAGTGAAAATGGTATTTGAAAATTAAAGTTGTGTTTAGACATGAATACAATTTGGAGCTATTTTTGAAATTTTGTGGGTAATTTGAACTGAAAATTTTGAAAAATAACTTTTTGGAATTTTTTAAAATTTCTAAAAAATTCCGAAATTTAACTTCTAGTGAAATTTAAAATTTTCATAGCCGAACACTGATTCCGAAAAAAAGAGAAAAGTTTCTGAAAAGAGTGAAAAAACATTTATGGCCAAACAGGCCCTAAGTTTATGAGTTTTTTACACCAATTTCAAATATATAAAAATAATTGGAGCAACAAATTCGGTATCGAGCTAAATATTCTCATACACTTAAATGAAAACTTTAATACAAATATAGATTCTAGGCAAAAAAAATTTGAGTTTGAGCCCCTAACCATTGCCACTAGATCCGTCTGGCCTACATATGATGATCATTTCCCCCTTAATTTCATGTCAGTCATCAAACTTTATTATCCTACATATCCATTGATTCAAAATTAGTCTTAATTTTTTATTTTATTTTTACATTTGGACAAGCTTATACCCCAATTAAGATTCTAAAGAAAAAAAAAGGCTAAAAATGAATGCCAAAAGTGAATGTGGGGCAGTATATTACCCTTGGAGAGAGCCTTTGTGAGTCCACCAATGGCCAGTGTTGAAAGACAAGACATCTACACCTTTCCAAGCATTGGAATTCTTACTTATATCATCTAACCTCAGCACATTCTTCCCTTGTACTGAGTCTATATCTACCAAATATGGTGTTCTGTAAAATGATACACTCACTCCATAATCCTGTCATTTACCCAAAACCACAAATTTTAACTCCAAATTAGTGTACAAAAGTAAAACACACAATTACTTTGTTAACAAACACCACTAATTAAAGGTGGCAAAATTAACTCTATGTTTTAGCAATCTGTCAAATTTTCCCACGTTTGAACGGGTGCGTTTGTTGACCTGATCCAACGAGTTAAACCCGAAATGACTTATTATCAACATGTCAAAATATTATAACTGGATAGGTCAAAATGCAACTCAAACCCAAAAATATAAAATAAAATTTGGAGATTGAAAAATATATAAATTTAAAAGAACCAAAGCTCATAATTTAACAAAAATACATTAATTATCATTTTTTTTTAAATATATAAAAAATGAAGAGAGGTTTGATCAAGTTGGACAAGTGGAATTAAGACCCCACAATTTGACCCTTCTTGATCCAATACATTTTGACATCAGCAAACTTTGGACCGACTAAATCAAGACCTATTTATTGGCTTCGACTTGTCTAAGTTTGAATCAATTTTGCTCATTTGTCACCTCAACGTTATTAATTATACAAAGATTAAAAAAAGAAAAAAGGCTAACCAGGAATTTGAAAGTAGAGATAGGATCACCCGTGATCATCTGTGTTCGAGCACGTGGAACCGCAGCTGAAATCATACAAATCAAAGACTGCCATTGGTTCCTTCCTAAAGAATCCCCCACATACATCACTGTCTTTCCTCTCATTTTCCTCACAAAGTCCAACCCATTAAACCTACCAAAATAGCAAAATTTACCCAACAGTTCAACAACCAAAAATAAAGATGAAAGTATTTACACAAGTCAAGTACATAGGCGATTGGAGAATATTCTGACATAGAAAATATTCCGACACAGGCGGTAAGAACTAAAACTTGAATTTATCAAGTTTTAAATTTTGAACGAACGGAGTAATAACATAAAAAAAAATGCTAAGTAAACAGATAAGACATGTCAAATTACACTGACATTATAAAAATGGTTATACTGTCTTTCTATATAGCTTAAATCTAAGATAAAAAGCGTTCAAAGATAGAAACTTTATTTAAAAAACGTCAAATTGTACCGACAGTATAAATAATGATAAAAAAACAGATAAAACATGTCAAATTGTACCGACAGTATAAATAATGATTATACAATGTATATAACAGGGAAGAAGCTACGTGATCCTAAGCGTGATCCATTGATCATCTTTCGTCGAAAAATTACACTGCATATATATAGGTAAAATATTAAATTTTAAAGGTATAACATATATTAAACGTCCTTTATAGGAGAATTTTTTTTTCATTTTCAAGTTTGAGCATCCTTGGAGAAATTCCTGATTTCGCCATGTAACTAAAATCTAACATACAAAACAAGCAAAGAATGAAAGTTTATTTAAGAAAACAGAATTGCAGGTACCTGGGAATATCACAATTGGCAGGTTTCCATCTATACTTAAGATAATCAGTATCAGGTCGACCAAAATTTTGGCAATTGAATTGTGAGTCAATAATTGGACAAGAAGAAGATTGGTATAATGGATAAGTTTCATCATAAACCCATGAACCCATAAACAGAGAACATGAAGTTAAATTAGCCAAAAGATTTGGCTTTTTATGTTGATTTTGGTGGTTCTTTAAACCTGCTAATGAAACTACAGAAAAATGTAGTAAAAGAAGGCATATTAAAGAAGAAGAAGAAGAGAAGAAGAGAAGATTCATTGGAGAAAAGGAAAGTTATGTAACAGAGAACAACAGAGATAGAAGAAAAGAAAAGAGGAAAGGAAGAAAGAATGTTATTAATGTATGTGTTTTAGTACTATATATATTATAAAGGGAAGAGAAATCGGCAACAGAGGGAATGGGAATTTTTGTTGCTTAGTGTGCATGTGAAGATAACTTAGATTCAAGAATCACAGACTAATTTAACATTTTCTTGTAAATTGATATGAAAAGAATTATACTTTTAGTATAGTTTTTGAATATTTAAATTTTAACTTTAAAATATTGATTAACGTAATCTAATTTAACTTTAAAAATTAGTCAAATTAACTCTCGATAAACAAAAAATACCAAATAAATTGAGGCAAAAGGAATAATAATCTGCTACAGCTGATTAAATTGCGATAATAGTATTTAATGTGTATAACTTAAATCTTTATACGAAATATATATATATATATATATATATATATATACGTCAACATGACTTAACTTGTTATAATGTGTTGTCTGCTTAATATCACATATAACTAACTTTACTTCTTACATACAGTTATTTGTAACAACAAGGATTTAATAGAGGATATCTCCATCCTTAATCAGAGATCTTCGGCTCGAGCCATGAGAATGGATAAACCCATGGTTGAAAGTGCCCTGTTAATGGGTCTTACGCGATCAAATCTAGATTAACCGGAGCCCCAAAGTACATACCGGACATCGAGTGAGAAAAAAAAAGAATTGTATACTTTTAATAGCTCCCAAAAATAATAATCGATATTTTTTTTATATACATAAAATTATACATTTATTGGCTAGCGAATGCAATTAGTTTCAGCTGATCGGTCAATTTTATATTTTGTCCAGAAAGAAAGCCAGTTACGTACTTATAATTATCTGTTAGGTGATATGATAGTGTAAAAATTCTCTTATACTATCAATGTGTAGAAGTTAAACTCGGTATATGTTTGAGTATATATATACACTCAAAAATAGTTTAAATATATATATATATAAGTCAAGTCGAAGAACAGTCAGAATTACTACTCATATTATAGTATACCTGAAAAGGGAGTCTTGGATCAATAATAAAATTGTCTTTATATGACTTATAGGTTAAGTTCGAGTCGTGGAATCAACCGTTGTATTAGGGTAGTAATTGGTCATCGCATCGATCGGACTGGCTTTTTTATACTATAGTATACCTATGGTTCACGTGTGTTAGTTACTATGTATGTAAGCCTGTTGGTGAACTAGCGGTGGGTGTGGCTGTTGGAGATGGACTTGTGACTGCTTTGATTTCATCACAATTATTAACCCTTAAAGCAGTTGAGAATTTGGACTCAACTTTTGTCATCATTGTATCCACTTGGATTAAATTACAATAAAAGTATTGGACAGTACTTTTGTGTTTACTTGTGAATACTTTCCTGTTTCGTTTCGAGTATCTGTATCAATTTTGTGCATAATTTTCACTACTTTCTAAACTGAATTAAGTATTCTTTTTCTTCTATTATTGATCTAGAAATTATGTACTTAAGCTCTCAGTTAGCTGTCATGCCAAGTTGCCAACTGTTTTGTATAGACACACCACGCTATTTGGTGGCAACTAATTGGCAAGATTATATATTTGGTGGCAACTAATTGGAAGTAAGTGACTAAAATGAAGAAAAGACCATTTATGGAATGGGGACAAGATGTTTCACATCATTCACCCAATCTTTCAGGTTATTTTTATAGTATTATTATGGAAATATTTTTTTTGCAATAAAATAAGTATGTTATTGTATATCAGCTTAATTTGATGGTGCAAATATATATAAAAATTAAATTCATATTAGTTAGGTCTTGTACAAGGGCGTATGCACCTTGCTTGAAGCGGCGTCATGTGATATCGTTTTCGTAATTTGTATGTATAAATAATAAATAAAATTATAATATTAGGTATAAATATAAAAAATGACATTGCTTGCTGTTATAATAATTTATTTATTTATTCACTTTTTCAAATATTTACAATATTTATAAAAAAAATTGCGTGCGCCCCTTGTGTACAAGAGATAGGGATGGCAGGTAGAAAGCAAAAGGACTAAATCTTAAAGTGTGGTCACCTCTTGTCTCCAAGTTGCAACCTAATGGGGTCTCAAAATTTGGTCAATTTCAATGTTGGAGGCCCTTAAAAGAAATACTTATTTATATAAATAAAAATAAAGACTCAAACGAAACCGTAAATGGTTAATGTTCTTTGCTTTAGTTTCGTTCCAAACTAAAGGTGTTTAACGGGTGGGCCGGATCGGTCCGGGTTGAGAAAAAAAGTAATCGGCCGGTTTTCAATTCAGGCCGGTTATCTATTTTTTCATACCGGGCTTAACGGGTCCGGATCCATCCGGATAAAAAATGAATCGGAACAGTTACGGATCTAAGGGGTCGGGCCGGATTGGCAAGTGCTTTTTTTGCAAGTGCTTTTTTTTATTTCAAACTTACAAATCGAAGTTTACATTTAACAACAAGTAAATTAACGAAAAAAAGAGTAAATTCAAAGGTTTTGCATTGCCTTAGTAAGTTCTTCATAATCAATATGAATTATTGGCCATCTTCTTGAGTGTTAAATTCAGATGGGTTACCATGTGTTAATATATCTACAAATTCCTCGTCTTCTGGTCTATCAACATCTTCACGTCCCTGATTTCTTCGTTCCGATCTAATCCAATCTCTGAAACATACTAAAACTTCCAAAGCATTGCTTCTCAATGAGTGACAGGTCTCTCCAAGTTGTTGTCTTGCTTGACTAAATGCACTCTCTGATCCAACAATTGAAATTGGCACATTCAGCACGTCCCGAGCCATAGCGGAAAGAACAAGAAATTGCTTTTCATTCTCATGCCACTATCCCAACGGTAAAAATTTCTTTATGCGAGGCTCTTTTTCGCAACTCCAATGTTATCACGAATAAACGTCAATTGTTCAAAGTTTGAAGTTCAATTGTTCAAACTTCAAATAATAAATAATACGATAAATTAAATTCCAAAACAAATGAGAGCCAAATAGTTGATTGCACTTTAGGTGAAGAATGAGAGAATGATAATTGAGAATATGAGTTTGAGAAATGAGAGATGAGTGAAGAAATGAAAAAGAGGGGGGTGTATTTATAGTTTTTCAAAAGGCTAAATTAGTAATTACTAAAAGTGTTATATTTTTTAAAATAATTTCCAAAAAAGAACTATTTTTACAATCAACCCATTGGGCAACGGCCAAATTGAAGCTGACTGTTGCCAACAGTCATATCACTTTAAAAAAAATCAGATTTATAGTTGTTGAATCGGTTCAACAGTATTTTTTGTTGACCGGGTTTGACCGGTCCGGTTAACCGATTTTTTTTTAAAACAGACAAACCCCCTAACCCCCCTAACCCAGCCCACCTGGCCCCCTAACTACCGGTCCGGGTTACAACCGGTCAGGGCCGGTCCGAAAATGGGTCAACCCGGCCTGTTAAACAGGTATATTTCAAACCAAAGAGAACTTCATACCTATTGAGGTAACGTCTAGTTGTATTATATTTAGGGGTCGTTTGGATCGGAATAAAGATATTCTAGGATATAGTTTTAGAATTTTATCCCATAATATCAAGATTTCCTATAAAGTTCATACCAATTTTACCTAATATCAATAACCAAATATGGGATTAATGTTGTCCCAAATTTTATATCTCTATGGGTCGTTTGGTATGAGGTATAAGGCGGGATAAGATGTAGGATTAAATTTAAACTCTGTTTGGTTGGCGGTAAATTTATATCTCCAACCAAACAAGGTATAAATTTAATCCTTAATCCAGGATATCCCATCTTATCCCAGCAAATGGGGTATTATTTTATCCCATCTCTCATGTGGTATAAATTAGTCTTGGAATTATAATCCGGGAATAATTTAGTCCGCGTACCAAACGACCCCTTAGTATTCTCATACCGGTAACTAACCCCCTTAAGAGTTGTTTGGTTGGAAAATAAGTTATCACATGATTAATTATCCCGAAATTAGTATTTCACTCTCTCATAGGGATAAAAATAATACTATAATCCCGAAATAACTAATCCCGGGATTACTTGTGCCGCGATTTTATCCTAACCAAATATGGGATAAATTCATCTCAAATTTAATCTCAGAATTAATTATCTTTTATCCCTCATACCAAACGAGCTCTTAGTATATGTATAATGGCTAATGACATGTACGAAATGGTTTTTTTTTTCTGATATCAACTTTTCTAGCAGCCGTTAGTTTTAATTTTGGATTTCTAGGTAGGTAATGTTATTAACTAAGAATAAGTCCAAGGTATAAGAGAGGGCCATAGCATACCAAGATAACCAGCTAATAAATTAGGATGCATTATACATCCTAATTTGGGTCATAGTACGATGGTGCAAAATAATTCTGATGTTTGGATATAATTATATATTTTTAGTGCATTACTTATTTTATATTTTAGAGCTTTAATGCTAAACTATATTATATTTGTGCTTAATTGAGCTTATTTTAAGTGTAGGTACGTTGAAAACAAAATTGGCAACAAAATAGAAATTTTATGTGTATTTTATACACTACAAGAATGAAGTTATGATCAATTAATTATTGGATATACAATGAGTATAGTGTAACGTTACAAAAGAAGACAAAAGTCAATTACAAAATAAGACAAGAAACAAGAATGAAAGCTGAAGCAAATGTTAGGCAACAAAATGAATTGAAGCACGAAGCATCACGCAAGCCGAAAAGGCTCGCGTTAGAGCAGGCGCCGCGAGGCCTTCGTGAGGTGTTCGCGTGTTCCGGATTTCAAGTTTATTTTGTCTCCTATTTAGTTTTGGACTTAATTATTTCGTCTAAACCTTTTTCCTACACATATAAATAGTCATTAAACACAATTTTTAGAAAAGGAGACCGACATTAGATCGAATTTTGACCTAAGGAGGCAAGAACACACTAGGAGCAAAACGGAGAATTCTTCTACAAGTTTTTCACTTCCTTCTTCCTATTTCCATTATTGGTTATGAATTCTAGTATTGTAGTTTTGCATACTATT